AGCTGGTCTCAGTCGCAGGATTTTCCTCCGTCTCTAACAAGAGCACAAAGAAATCTCTCATTTCAATTACAGCCCCTTCAGGAGTCATCAGGCTCACAGTTTAGGACATTTCCGCCATCGTAATGAAGTCACATGTTTTCTTTCTTTCTGTCTTTATTTGCGTGGGGACAAGTTTTACGTAAAAAAAAATGTAGAACACTATAACGTATGTATCCATAGCTAGTTTCCAATGCACATCCCAGTTTGTAATGCATGTCCCAGTTTGTAATGTGCATCCCAGTTTATGCACGTCCCAGTGTGTAATGCACATCACCTTGGTTTGTGCTCACGGACTCAGAAAGTAATAAAAAGAAATTGCTTTTGAAGAACTGTGAGGCTGCAAAATAATCATCGTAACACTGCAGACCTTCACAAACAGTTTTTATTTTTCCATTTTTCTCCTCAACAAGCTGATGGGACACAGTTTGCTCCAGCCTCCCTTAAACCACTTTAACCAAAGTTTCCTCTTTCCAGCCTCAATCTGCCAGTGACTCTTTTCAAGAACAAATGAACGGAAACCTCACTCAGTGTTCACTCCTTTGTTCAGCATAACCAAAACATGCTTAGGTTTTGGAAGAGTTTCTGTTTAAAATGAGACTCTTCAAGTATGAAAGAGAGCGCCCGTTGGTTAATTGTCAAGTTATTGGTGGTTAATCATCTCACTTTCATTTCAGAAATCACTGACTGTTTATTTCTGTGTTTAAGTAATCATTAAGAGCTGTTGGTGTTTACAGAGACAAAAAATGAGCTCAGCATTGTTTGAAGCTAGTTGTGTAAAGATTAAATTTGCACCATGAGTGTGTTTATTAAAGCTGTTGGGCCCAAAATAAAATGACGAAGTGTGTTTTCAGAGATGATTTGCTAATGACTTTAAACACCAAAATATGTCTTAAGCACATCAGGTGTTGTAGCTTTTATAAAACAAACATTCATTTTTAGTTATCACTTGAGCCATAAATTAGTTTGAAAACAGTTTAAGAACYCTGGTGTTTCAATCTCAGCTTTCATACCTGGTCATCTAAAACAAAAGAAAAAATAATAAGGGCGATAAAAAGGATGCAGGTGGTAAATAAACAGAGGAGCTCCTTTCACTTAATGYCTGCACTGTTCGGTTGTATGAAACCAGGAAAGTCAGCGATGTCACAGGAAGCTTCCTCACCCTCTGTGGTGTTTCACTGCAGCTTTTATTTGTCTCTCGGGTGGTGTGGGGGTGTTGTGGCTCTGCTCTTTCAGACTCTGCCTTTCTCAAAGTCGACTGCATGACGGAATGTGTCTGAAAAGTATATTAAGCGTGTATCCGCTCAATGAAGAACCCGGCCTTCTCAGACTGTGATCCAGTGAAACCCACCCGTAAAGACCCTCTGCACAGAGGAAACTCCAAGGTTTGACTGTGGACACTTGCTGAAGTTTAAATCCCRGTGTGATACAAAGGTTTGGCCCTCCTCTGCTCAGGTTCCACAGTTGGACTCTGCAGACGTGCTGCTGAGGCTGTTGATGTTACGATAGCGCTGGCTGCACTTGTTTTGTCTGTGGTTTTCTGATAAGCGGGGGGCTGTTGTTGTTTGTTTGGAGGGAGRTCTTTCCATTACAGTGAAGTGGCTCTCTGTCTTATCACAGAGGAGTATTTTAATCTAGAAATATGTTCCTCAGAACTGGAACCGAGTTTAAAGCTCACAATCAGTTTGAACTAGTCCTAGCATTTCTTGAAGGAATGTATATCACTTCCTGCTTTTCATATCTGCCTTTTTTATTGAGAGGGTCGTTATGTTTGTTTCTTATGTCTATGTTTGTGTATTTGTCTGCASTAGGSCTGGGTGATATGGCTGAAAAACTTATCATGATACAGTATAAGTGTTTCATATCGTCAGCATCAATAACTATTGATTAGTTTTATAACATCAGTCTGACTTTTGTCAAACTTAAAATATCTAAAATACTGCCACACTGGTGGCCTTTACTCTTTTAGCCACAGTTTCCTCTCAAGCTGTTACATCATTTTCTCCTTTCACACCACGTCATTCTCTTTTATTTTGAAGCAGTTCGGAGGCTCGGTGGTGATACATGAAACTGCCTGCACATGGTTTTTGCTAGCTTGTTTAGCTGCAGGCTTTTGAGCCTTGTTTCAGTGTAACAGCATCCTAAATCAATAATTAATTTCATGATGGTGGATGGGGCTGCCATGATGAGTCGATTAATCGATGACTAATCGATTATTAAAATAATCMATGACTAATTTAATAATCGATTAATCTGGTTTTTTTTGTTTGTTTTTTGTTTTTTTTGTTCTTTACTTTGTTTTTCTCTCCAAACTGCTTTGTCACCTTCCACTGCCACGTCTGCCTTTCTG